TCTCATCGATGTTTCTAACTCTCTATCCCTCTCCCTTCCTCTCTGTAAAAAATCAATAAAATGTATTTAAAAAAAAAAAAAAGCAATGGAAAAAAAAACCCAAAAAACTCCCACCGTGTGAATAGGTAGTATTTTCTAGGGTCTGTGTTTCAAAATACATACAAGGCTTTAAACACTGAATGGGTTACAATTCCTGTTCTTAATACATTTTCACAAATCACAGAATACCATGGAAATTTTTGGGTATTCAGAGTAGGGAGAGATAAAGTGTGTTTGAGGGAATCAGGAAAGGAGGTGGCATATGAAATGGTCCTTAAAGGATAGTTAAGATTTCAATAGTTAAAATGCATAGTCATCTCTATATTAAACAAAGAATCGTATGTAGGGAGGTAAAAAGGTACTGAGTGTGACTGAAAAAGGTACTGAGTGTGACTTGGCTGTAATGTAGGGGTGGCACAGGGACGTAGTGAGAGATATGCAAGAAATGTGGGGTAGGGCAGTATTGGTGGTGTCAGGTTCTTTAACCCAGTAGACTATGGGTAACTCTTGATGCTTTGGAGGCAGGCCTATGGAATATGTAATAGGATTGGAGGGTGGAAGCACCAGGTGTGGAGAGACCAGTTAGGAGAGGCTATTGCACTACTTCAGGTAAGAGATAATAAAGGCCTGTACCAAAGGGAGGGCAGAGGAAATGCAGAGAAGACACTGGAGAGGCACATTTCAGAGAACTGCCCACACTGGCAGGGGACGGTGCGGTTGGAGGTGGGGGGGACAATGGAGGGACGATATCGATAGTATGCACCCCAACCGTGGATCAAGCCCACCACCACTGGGTATGTGCCCTGCCGGGGAATGGAAACAGAAACCTTTTGATGTATAGGATGACGCTCCAACCAACTGAGCCACACTGGCCAGGGCTGGTTTTATATTCTTAAAACAACTTCTGTATGGTTTCCAAAGTGTATTTCAGAAGAATCTTTACTGCACTTAACTAATAATTTGTATTTAATAATAAATCACAAAATTTGTCCTGGACAGGACATAGAGGCGTGAGGGATGGGATCAATGGAATCTATGTGCCTTCTTGTGGGTTTACCCTCTGAGCAAAGAAATACAATTTTAAGAGCCTCTTTTAAAGTAATAAATGACCCACACTGCAACCTTAATTCCCATTGCGCTTAGCATTTACTGTGTAAACCTGTTAGATCTCCCCTCTTCACTTTTCCTTCTTTTTGTTGTCATGGGTCCTGCTTTAAGATGGGGAATTACAACAACAATAATAAAGCTCGTTCTATGTACCAGCCCTTTTCTAAGTGCTTTATTTATATTTGCTTCTTTAATTCTCATAACAGTTCTATGAGGAAAGCATTAGTAGCATCTGTGTTTTACGAATGATGAAGCTACATAAAAGGAGAAATTAAGTAACCTGCCTAAATTCCCATAGCTTAGAAGTGGCAGGGTGGGAATATGAATGCTGAAATCTGGCTTCTAAGCACATGCTCTAAACCACTCCACTTACTGTCTTTTCTATTAGCATAATATGCACTGCTTTATATTACCACATATTATGATTTTTTAAGCTCCTAATGCTCCATTGTAACAGACTTTCATAATATCAAGATTCACAGTTCCCAGCTGTGTTCAAATTTGTATCTTCCAGTGTTAGGCAATCTTCCTTCTTGTCTTGCACAATCTTTCTACTTTTTTAAAATTATTTTTACTAATAGCCCTGTGCATGAATCTGTGGCCAGTAGCTCTCTGCGGGGCCTGGCTGCTCCGCGTCCACTGGCCAGAGGCTCTCCGCAGCCCAGAGGCCCATCCGCAGCTGGGCGCGGAAGGCTTGTTTTGTCCCCAGGGCGACGACGCAAATGTTCCCCCCAACCTCCTGCAGATCTGTGCCTACTGCCCAGAGGCCCTCCGCTTGCCTCGTCGCCATGGCGACAAAGCAAGCATTCCACCAGGCCGCTCACGCGCTCGCTCTCAGTGGCCGCCCCCCGGGGACTGGGGGACTCCAGTGGGGCTGAGAGGACTGGGCGTTGCCATCTTTTGTGATGGAGTGACGGTTAATTTGCATATTATCGTTTTATTAGTTAGGATTATTAATGACTTTAGAATGAGAGGAATGGAGAGGGAGGAGAAAGAATAAAACATCGATGTGAGAGAGAAACATTGACCTGTTGCCTCCTGTACATGCCCCGACCAGGGATTGAACCCACAAACGGAGTATGTGCCCTGACTGGGAATCGAAACTGTGACCCTTTGGTGCACAGGAGGATGCTCCAAACAACTGAGCCACATCAACAGAGCTCTATTTTTATTTTAATCTCAAGGATAATTTGTTTAGTACATTTTTTTAAAATATATTTTATTGATTTTTTACAGAGAGGAAGGGAGAGAGATAGAGAGCCAGAAACATCGATGAGAGAGAAACACCGATCAGCTGCCTCCTGCACATCTCCCACTGGGGACGTGCCCGCAACCCAGGCACATGCCCTTGACCGGAATCGAACCCGGGACCCTTCAGTCCACAGGCCGACGCTCTATCCACTGAGCCAAACAGGCCTCGGCTGTTTAGTACATTTTAAGTGATTAATTGGTCACTTGCTTTTGGCACATACTGTGATTATCAATCCCTGGTCAAGAAATATTCACTGAGGACCTACTCTATGCTAGGCAAAGGGCTAGGCATCAAGGTACAGAGCTGCATAAGAAGATTTACATGAATAGATCCTTTCCAGATAACATGGTAAATGTTCTGAGTGAGGGTCCAATGAAAAAAAAAAGGGGGCATGGAGTTTGGAGTGTGGTGTGTTTTGAACAAGGGGAGGAAGTGCTTTGAAAGAAGGCTATTCCAGCCAGTAGACCCAAGACTCTGAGCATGAGAATAAAGGTAACATAGATACTGGAGCAGAAAAATTAATTAGGCAAAAATCTTAAAGTACTGTAAAATATGAGAGATCTAAAAGTGAGGAACTCATGAGCAGGTTGGCAGGAGATCTCAAGTTTCTACTGGTGACATCTCACATGGGCTAAAAGTCTTCTTCACTAGTCCTCTTCATTTTGCACCTTACTTCACTACTTTACTTAAAACTTCTGCTTCTTCTTCATCCTAAAACTTTCTACACTGAAATAAGTAGCTGGAGTCTCTCTTAAAGTTGGGAGCAAAGGTCTCTCCAGGAGATGGTACACACATGAAAGATTTCTTCTGTCCACTGAGACTGCTTTCAATGTTTAACCGTGTGTTTGTTTACTTCTTTA